TTATAAATCAAAAATTGATTGTTTTATAAGCCAAATATTAGGCTTTCTCTCTGGATACAACTGAATAAGGCATGCTGTTGGTAGGATATCCTATTAATTTTAATTGTGTTTTTTAAACATTGTGAACGATCGTAAACTAAAAAGTATAAAGTGTAATTGAAACCTTTGATTAAAACCACTCATTTATTCCACTAATTGCGAGGTTCTGAATGAAGCTTTAATATTTTATATTTGTTTATATTTTTATTTTTGATATTTTAACTTATTATTACTACTATTATATAGATATTAAATTTTAATAAACATTGAGACACCTAAGTTTCTATGTGAAATCTGTGTGCGTAATAAACGTTAATTAATTTAAAATTTATGAAGCTTATTGTCAAATATCATTTGTGATACTAACATAAAATTGCATATTTTTTTTAAATGCCTTTATTGTCAAAAAAATTTACAATTTGTAGACAAGTCATTTACTGCGTAGAAAGCCTTGTCTAGTAAATAAGATTTCAATGCTTTGCGAAATGAAGAAAATGATGTTATGGATTTGATTTCAAATGGCAGGTGATTGTACATGTTTTTCGAGTTGTATAATATTGAACTTTTAACTAACTCTGAGCGTGGGGTACGTAGATAAAGATCTTGCTCCGGCGTTCCTGAGTGGATAAGTGTGAGATGTCCTTTCTTGAGAAGCTGATACATGATTACGTATTAGGCAAACGGATTCAAATATAAATAAGGAAGGAAGAGTTAATATTTTCAATTTGGTAAAAAAGTCCCGGCAATGAGTTCTGCTGTTTAGTCCCAGTGAATATCGAACAGCTCTCTTCTGGAGCTTGAAAATGCGGTCAAATTGAGTGGCACAACACGTACCCCAGAATGGAAGTGCATATCTGAGGTGCGGCTCAAAAAGTGCATAATAAACAGTTCTAGCCACTGACAAGTTAAGCTCCTTAGAAACAGATCTTAATGCAAAACAGGCAGAGCTTAATTACAACAAGCCTTAAGAATTTTACAGATTTTACGACGTCAATGGTGGTGTTGTTAAGTACAAAAGAGTAATAATACGACAAAGCTTTAGTTTTAGAAATGTCGAGACTCAGGAGGTGCGAATCGCACCAAGATTTAATGGTGATTAAGTCATTTGATACAATCGTATAAAGTGCCGTGACGTCCTTGTTACTCCAAGTGAAGCTAGTGTCGTCCGCACAAGGACATATTTTACCACTGTTGTTTATGTTAGCAATGTCGTTAATAAAAAGAAGAAACAAAATAGGGCCTAATACTGAGCCTTGTGGTACTCCACGTTATATTGGCTTGCTAGAAGACAACATGGTATCCACCCTCACAAGTTGACTTCTGTTGCTCAGATACGACTTAAACCATTCGAGAGATGTTCCTTTGAACCCATAGTGCTGCAGTTTATTAATTAGTATCTTATGATTTACACAGTCGAACGCCTTAGAAAAATCACAGAAAATTGTTGCTGTAGAATGATGGTTATTTCGGCTGGAGTAAACTTTATTAAGGAGGGAAAACATAGCGTCATTTGTGGACTTGTTGCTTTGAAATCCAAATTGATGTTCAATAAGTATTTTGGGAACGTGGGAAATTGTTGGCAGACATTTTTCTCGTGGCTATAATGCCGGCAGACAACGCGAAAGAGGCATAAAATTTTGACAAAAAAAAATCATCGCATACATGCACGCCGATTGGTGGAAATTCATATTTATTTATTTAAAAAGCAGTATGCAAAAGGGCAGACAAAAAAATCGTGGCTCAATCAGCGGTAGACAGTTATCAATAGTGCGATATTATCCTACAGGGTGAGTCTTGAATAAGTGCAAATATTTTCAGGGCTGGGATAAACATATTTTCTCTTTACCGTTTTTCAAATGAGTCCAAAATAAACGAGTTATTCAAGTTTGAAAATGTAAAAACAAATTGATTTATTTTTAAATATTTTGTGAGCCATCTGTTTTTTTTTTCAAAAAAATCCTGTATGGGTATTTCGCCACTGCACTGCAAGAAAATCTACAAAATAAAATAATTATTTTTTGTAAACACTTCTGCGTTAAACCTAAACGGACGCTGCTTGTCAGAAGTTATGTCTACGGTAATACAAATTTGCCTAACAAAGCAAAAAAAATGCTTCGTTTCGGAAACTTATCTCTTTCCGTCGTCGGAAGCAAAAAAATACAAAGAATAAAGAAAAAAAACTATTTAAAATATTTAAATTCAACTATTCGAGAACACTTTACTTTTTTAAAACAGATACGTCTACAAGAAACCGTTGACGTTCTGTTAAAATGACATTTTTAACTTGATATTTAAACTTCAAAATTAACAATTACTACCTGATAACAATTACATAATAAGGTAAAACCAAAAGGCCCCAAACTTTCTATATAATTATTTTTAAATTTTACTTATGTTATGTATATTTATCTTGTTGTATCTATTGTTCTTTAAAATTAAAGAAGCGATTGCCATACATTACTAACATCTACAGATGCATGAACAATACATTTATTTTTATTAGATTGACTCATAGACGTGTTTCTGGGGTCGAAATATATCACCCTTAAAAGTATTTTCACTTATTTAAGACTCACCCTGTATAAGCATTTTCAGGAAACGCTGGCCGCGTTATCAATTGAAATATAATACTTGGAAGTCTACAAAATTTTACGGTGCAGATATCGACTCAGAGGAAGACTCGTTTGCGAGAGCGGGGATCTGCAGTACGATGAGTCAGATACAAATAGTGAGACAGAATAGTAAATGTATGATCTTCTTCTTCTTCGTCGTCTCTTCATGTCTGAAGAATCGTGACATTATGGCTATGTTCAGTTGGTGATTTTGATCTGCCATCTGATGGCGATCTTCCGCCTCTCGGAGATTTGATTGAAATGGCTGACCTATAATATTTGCTATTTGGTCAAGCCATCTCGATGGTGATCGTCCTCTGTGTCTTCGACCTTCTACTTTGCCTTGTACTATGATTTTTTCAAGGTTGTCTTTACCTCTGCGAGTGATATGACCGAAGTATTGCAGGATGCGTCTACGGCAGATGTTGGATAATCGATCTGTGATACCGAGTTCATTAAGAATTGCCTGGTTTGTTCTTCGAGCTGTCCAGGGATACGGAGCATTCTCCTCCAGCACCACATCTCAAATGCAGCTATACTGTGTCTATCAGCGCTCTTGGCGGTCCATGACTCAGACCCGTATAGGAATATGGAGAACACCAAAGATCGAACAAGGGTTTTTTTGGTGTTTTTAGTAATGCTCCTATCTGTCCATATTTTTCTTAGGCTCATCATAGCCGTCCGTGCCATAGCTATACGCCTTCTTATATCTGCTTCGCAGCCCCCATTAATTCCCATTCGCTTCTTTCATTATAATTTTGGCGTTATTAAAATTTATTCTGTGCCCTGTGTCCCAAGAATGCTGACAAATCTTAGATTTGTGAAAATCTCCCTTTCTTAAATAATCTTTATGTTCTTTAATTCTAACATTTAAGGGTCTAGATGTTTCATCAATGTAAAATTTATCGCATTCACAGGGTATTTGGCATATTACATTTTTTGTTTGTTGTTCTGTATTGATTGGTTTAGTATGTGATAAAATGGATCTAAGTGTATTTTGTGTTTTGAAAGATGTTCGTATGTTATATTGTTTTCCTATCCTTCTTATTTTTTTCCGAAACGCCTCGTATGTATGGAATTGTAAGTTGTATATATTGTGTATTGTTATCATTGTGTCTATGATTTGGGGTTTGTATTTCTCTCGTTTAATGTTTTGTCAATAAAATATGGTGGATAGTCGTTTTTGATTAATGTTTTTTTTAGGTGGTTTATGTCTCTATTTGTGAAATGTCGTCTGTACATATTATTTTTGCCCTATCATATAAACTTTTTATAACACCTTTTTTTACACTTATACTGTGATTAGATGTGAAATTTAAGTATCTATCTGTGTTCGTGGGTTTTCTGTAAACATCTAAAATTAGTTTATTTTGAAACTTTGACACTAAAACATCAAGAAATGGCAAACGATTACTTCTCTATAATTCTAAAGTAAATTTTATGGTAGGTCCGTGGGTAAATTTGCGGTGAACAGGCAGTTCTAAAAAGTTTTCTAAAATATACAGCAAAATTTAAAAAATGCACTATTTTCAACATCATTTTTTTTGCGAAAAAAACCTCATAGACGTGTTCCTGGGGTAGAAATATATCACCCCTAAAAGAGAGTATTTGCACTTATTTAAGACTCTTTATCTGCCCTTTTGCATACAGCTTTTAAAATAAATAAATATGACATTCCACCAATCGTTCATTCCACCAATGTCTGCCAACAATTTTCCACGTTCCTTAATAATAAATAAAAGCTATTTTCGCAATTATAACTCGTGTACCTTATAATATTTTTAGTGTCAAAATTTCACCCTTTCGATTGGCAGCCCTCGCTTTAAGCCCCGGGATTGCGTTGGCAGACATGACTATTTCATAATGGCCACATAAAGGGATTCTTCACAAGAAAATTTAGGCATGTAACGATGATAAGGTTTTTTATGTAGCCAGCTCTTAGACATGTCTTAGACTAATATTTTCTAAAAAATAGTATCCATATCAGTTCATAAGTCATCCTTCTTTTAGCAAATAATATGGTATCTACACCATTGTATCTATTTGATATGATTAAATAATGAAGCAACTTAACACAAAAATGACAAATTTCTACATGTTCCAAAGCATGCAAAACTGCTCGACATTTTTCGATATAACTCAGGGCGTTATTTAACAAGAATGCACTGATTACTGGCGCTTTGGGGGGCACCTCTATCAATTCCTAGTTCTTGTTGCAGTTCGGACGGACCGAGGAAATGCACTTTCGCCACTTTCGCCATCTCCCTTAAGCCGAGATAGCGCGAGTCTATAAATAAGACCGGACAAGCCGGCGTTTTGCAAAATGTACTAAAGTCCGTACAGTGTGTACCCGAGTGACGTAATAAGGGCAGTACTTTGGTCGACGTAAGTCAGTTTTACGTTGTTTTGCATTCGCACGGTACCTTCAATAACTGAACTATTTTCAATCTAAAAAAAACAGCTACCGGTACTAATAAGGATTACAATAGTAATTTAATAGTCTGGATATGTTTTTTTCTCTTAAATTCGGTTTGAATTACATCTGCGATGTCAGAGTTAGAATTAACCCCTTCCAATATTTTTAAACATACTAATAAATACATTGCTATACTAAATAAAATTGCCAACACCCTGTACATTGCTCATCAGAATTATGTAAATTTTGTGCTGAACTTTAAGCCAGAGAAATAAACTTTACTGAAAATTTTGATTGCTTCCTTTAATGTATACTGGGTTATCAAAAATTTCTGATCTATTTTAAATATTTATTTTACATAAAAACTTCCTTACTTCAAATCCAACATCCTGTATTTTTTTAAATCGAAGTAGATTCAAATGTTTTTTCAAACTATAATGGGGTTTCCTATACCTATCTACCTCAGATTTTGAATAAAGAGCAATTTTTCAATAAAATGGCAACCAAGAGGGCTGATGTCGTCATGGCAAGTTTCTAGTGACAGTTAGTATAGCTATAGCAGCTATTCATTCGAAATTCAAAATCGAAATTAGTTTATGGCCTTTATTTAAATTTATAGCAGTTCACTTTTATTTAATTTACCTACAATAGTTTAATAAATAATATCTATTAATTATTATATATTTATTATTCTATCAAGAAAAACGAAGTAGTTCTTTGATTTATTTTACGGTAACTTATACAGGATTGTTCACCACATACGACACGGAGTATTGTAGCTAAACGATGAGATTTTTCCAAATTGTAAGTTTTGGGTTCGATGAAGGACTATTAGAGGTACAATTTAAAAATAATTTTACAAGATATAGTGTCCCAAATAAGTAAAAAATATCAAAGTTGTATTTTTTTAAATGGAACACCCTGTATATTATTACATTTTTAGTTTCTACGATTAAAATAAAGGTAAATTTAATTAAGATTTATTATACTTAAACCTTACCGTTTTTGAAATATTTTCAATTTTGTGAAATTGCAGTAAAAATTTTAAAGCTTCATTTCTCCAAGGGTATCAAAGTTTTTAATACTAAATATTTACTGAAGTTTATTTACTGATCAGTTATTGTGTTGCAATAATAAAAATAATACTACCTTATACAGAGTGTCTAAAAATTTATTTTATATAATTATTAGCTTCAAACGGCAATAACTTTTTTAATTTAAATGGAACACCCTGTATATTTTACGAGAATCAGATGCACAATTTAATTGTCTATCAAATTATATTATACCATTTTTTACCTATCTCTTTAAGTTTCCGTAGAAAATGCATTTTCTTGTAATTTAGAACTTATTTATCAATATACCCATGGACTATTGACATTTTAGATTATTTTTAAAGAGTACAGATACTAATATTGTCGATATAATTCGTTTATTTCATTAAAAAATAAAAAAAAACTGTTTAAATATTTGTTAAAGAGGACCAATTAATATGATTCCAGTATTCAAACCACATTAACTGACTGTTTGCGTTGATTAATAATAATTGCTCCAAATACTAAAAAACTGAATTTTGTATGGGCATTAGACAGTGTGATAAAAAGTAACACCTTAAAAATGATATTTCATTTTTTAATAAATGCTTATTTATAACTACAGAGACTTTAATTTGATAACTTATTATTATATTGATTTCTGACTCAAATCCACATTTATTTATAATAATTTAATAACGAACACAATTAAGTATGTAATTAATTAGTATATGGGCGCAAATAATGGTGTTATATTTAATTAATGGTATACTCTTTTATAAAGATTTAAATAGTTTTCTTTTTGCATACAAATGGGCTAGTAATATTATCGTTTTGCTAAAAACGATAATATTACTAGTCTGTACATTTTGTACATTTGTTGCTTTAAAAACAATCTAAAATGTCAATATTCCATGGATATATTGATAAATGAGGTCTAAATTATAAGAAAATGCATTTTCTACGAAAACTTGAAGGGATAAGTAAAAAATGGTATAATACAATTTGATAGACAATTTAATTGTGCATCTGATTCTCCTAAAATATACAGGGCATTCCATTTAAATTAAAGAAGTTATTGCCGTTTGAAGCTGATAATTATTTAAAATAAACTTTTAGACACTCTGTATAAGGTAGTATTATTTTTATTATTGCAACACAATAACTGATCAGTAAATAAACTTCAGTAAATATTTAGTATTAAAAACATTGATACCCTTGGAGAAATGAAGCTTTAAAATTTTTACTGCAATTTCACAAAATTGAAAATATTTCAAAAACGGTAAGGTTTAAGTATAATAAAACTTAATCAAATTTACCTTTATTTTAATCGTAGAAACTAAAAATGTAATAATATACAGGGTGTTCCATTTAAAAAAATACAACTTTGATATTTTTTATTTATTTGGGACACTCTGTATCTTGTAAAAATATTTTTAAATTGTAGCTCTAATAGTCCGTCAACGAACCCCAAACTTACAATTTGTAAAAATCTCATCGTTTAGCTACAATACTCCGTGTCGTATGTGGTGAACAACCCTGTAGATGTATGGATTTTCTATAAAAGTGATAATTACGGCAAACCATTCAATTAAAAAAATCATTTTCTTCACTTCCAACGACAGGTTTCTGCCTAATAGGTTTTTTTTATAAACCACATTACTAGCTATGCGAAATAGGACAAGTCGTTTTTCAAAGGAAAGCTTATCAGGAAGATTCCTACTTTGATATCTTTGAGCTTAAGCCTTTGAGGCCAAGGAGTAATTTTCGTCACAAAATAAAATCACTAGTAACATATCCATTCGTTCCGGCAGCCAGATACTGCTTTATTTTTCTTGATAAAATAATGAATACTTACTTTATTATATATATTATTAAACTATTGTGGGTAAATTTAAGTAAACTGTTGTCCCTGAACTAATGTCGATTGTGAAAATAGTTACTAACTGTCACTAGAAAATTGCCATGGCGACACCAGCCATCTTAATAGCCATTTTATGGAAAAATCGCTTTTTATTCAAAATCTGAGCTACAGTACATCTGCTGGATCTGTGCCTATGAAAGGAATGCGGACAAAAAACATTTAAATAAACAACAATATATTTTATATGTCGATTTGACGAGTGCGTCACCGCAAATCGCTCCGCCCACTCATTTTATTGGCTACTTGCAAATTTGTTGAATTTTTATTGATGAGACGCGTCGTCTATTTTTTTACGAAAAACATCGAGAGAATATCGTTTCCCCTCTCACGGATACCCCGTAGCTACAGAACGGACAGACGTACTGTAGATAGGTATAGAAAACCCTAATATAGTTTGAAAGAGCATTTAGATCTGCTTCAATTTATTTAAAAAAATACAGGGTGTTGCATTTGAAATAACAAAGTTATTATGTAAAATAAATATTTAAAATAGATCAGCAATTTTTGGTACCCCGGTGTAAATTTAAGGAAGCAATAAAATTTTTCAGTAAAGTTATACAGGGTGCTACAAATTCGAGGTACATTATTTATTTTATTTACATTATTTGTGTTTATTATAGTGTTGTGTATCCTAATTGATTTTGTATGTACAAATAAGCGAAAATAGATTTGTAAGAGAATAATTTTGTTCTTAATATATGCAGGTAACGTTCCGCTTTTTTTAGTTTAACAGATTATTTTTGGGGAAGCCTCAACGATACGTTTATCCTCTTGAAAGGGACACCTCATGTTTAAAAAAAAACTCGTATATTGTTAAATAAAATTTCTACTTCCTATTATCCATTATACAGGGTGTCAAAAATAGTGTATTTAACTTCGGTGGGTGATTTTACAGAGAGAAATAAAACAAAAAGTCCCTATGAACATATGCCCTAAAATGCTTCCCGAAGAAGTTACATCCCGCGAAAGGTTAAATAAAAATAATACAGGGTGGTCCGAACTCTATTCCGGAAACTTCGGCGGCGTATTGTGTAGATAAAAATAAGTAAAAAAGTTCGTATCAATGTATGTTCTAAAATACTTAGTTTCGGAGATACAGGGTGTAGAAGTTTCATTTTTATTTCGATTTTTTCCAAATATTTCGTCAATATTTGGATAAAAATTGGTGTCTGGGAGTTTTTTCACATGAGAAATTTGATTTTGATGTCAATATGACTCCTGCGTGTAGAGGGCGCCACCTACATGTGTCGTAACTGTTTTGCAGAATAATAACTTTTCGTCCATACCTGTATAAAACTACTGAGTAAAAAAATATACACAATTACGACGTTTTTAACATAAAAAATATCTCTTGGTAAAAACCGCTAGGAGTAATGGTTCTTGAGATATTTGGACTCGAAATTATCAATACCTGTCATCATGACAGACTAAATAGTTAATACCGTATGATCGAATAAAAACGGCGTCAGCGATGGCTATGAAATGAAGATCGCTGTCATTTTATATGTAAATTTATATAGGAAATGCCATCGATCGTCATTTCCAAGCCAACTGGACGCCGTTTTTATTCGATCATACGGTAGATTAAAATCATAAATTTGAAATATTTCAACAGAAGTTCAACAGAAACTGTTTTATCATTATTTTTTCACAGAAAAATTTATGATTAATTTAAAAAAATAAAAATCTTCCAAATTTATTATTTCAATCAAATAACTATATGTGTTTATTTTTTGTCAATAATTCCATGTATTGACTATTTCCATTCTAAATATTTTGAGAATGGTTGCTTGTAGCGATTTTTTTTACGTAAAGAGTCACGGAAATTTATATTTTTTCACTCAGTAGTTTTATACAGGTACGGACGAAAAGTTATTACTCTTCAAAACAGTTAAGACACATGTGGTGCCCTCTACAAATAGGAGTCATATTGACATCAAAATCAAATTTCTTATGTCATAAAACTCCGAGACACCAATTTTCATCCAAATACTGGCGTTACTTCAGAAAT